GTGTGTGTGTGTGTGTGTGTGTGTGTGTGTGTGTGTGTGTGTGTGTGGTTTCCTCCTGCTCAGCTGAACTAATCCTCTCCACCTTCCTCTGGTTCTCCACCTCCTGTGAGTCACTGAGGTAGAAACACGGCTCCTCCTTCTGGAGGTATCCCACGGTGGCCCGCTCTGACCCGTCCCTGTCCACTGTCGGGGAGGGGAGGGGGGTGTTTTGGATTGAAATGTGGCTTTCAGCGTGGTGGGGGACTGTGGAGAATGGCAATGACCGCAGCCTTTGTGTTTGGCTCCGCTTCCTTTGGGACGATGGGCAGTGAATGATGTGGCCCCGGGGGAAGGTGCCCCTCTCTGTTCTCCTTCAAGGACAGAAAAGCTGAGCAGGAGAGGCGCGAAAGGAGGGAGAAGAAAGAAAAGCGGGGAGAAGTATTGACTCGGAGACGCTGCGCTTCAGGGCCGACCCCGCTTGTTGCTATGGTTTTTCTAGTCAATCTTAAACTCTTTACTTGTGCTGCTCGCCACCGCGCTCCTTCTGAACTCGTGTCACCTCATGTGGCAGGAAACTCATATTCCCATAATCCCCTGTCACGGCGGGCGACAGCCGTGCTTAACGCGCCGCAGAGCAAATATGTGTGTTCCAATCAGCTCTGACAGGACAGCGTTTTGTGCTGCCGAGAGACGTCCTGACAGACAGTCATTATTGGAGAGTCAATAGCCGTGACTGATGACAGCAGAGGTCAGTGAAAGAGGCTGGAGCGCTGCCTGCTTCACAGCTTTCACAGCAAATGGAAAGCCGTGGAAACAAGCATGTCGGATGATTTCACCTTTGGCAACTCGCACAACGTGTTTGCTTGTTTCATCTTCAACAAATTTGTAACAAATTGGGCTTCGAGGAGGATAAACTGCAAAGCAAAAACTTCCTTCTCGCTCTGTTTCTGTTTTTTTTAACACATTTCAGCGCTGAGTAATGAAGAGTTGCTCAGCGTATTGTGACTTTCTGTGGGAAAAGTGTTCAGTGACGCGACCTGTGGAGTCCTGGATTATCAATTAAACCATCATGGTAGCATTAACCATAATCTGAAGAAACACATTGTAGCTTAATATTTGTTTAACACCATGAGCCTTTTTTTAATCAAGACATTAGTTTTAAAAATGAATTAAAGCTGCAGTGAGCCAGGAGATTAATTAAGGTGCTCCTTCTTATGACTCTTTGTTGACATTCAAATAGACAAAAAGCATAAAGATCCTCACTGACACTGATATCCATCTTCATCTTTCTACCATTTGTTGTGTTTTACACCCCAAAACAAACAAAAAAAACTACTTGTTTACTTTGCTAAACTGTGACTCAAACTCCACTTGTTAATTAAAATTTCTAGCATTTCTTGAAGGAATSCATATCGCTTCGCTTAACGAATGCATATTGCTGTTCGTTATAAAGTTTTAATGCCATAATAGAATATGTGTTGGGGATGATGCTCAACTACTACCACACCAAGTTTTAGCTCCATGTCTGTAAAATTAGCTGAGTTAGAGCCATTTGAGTGTTTTCTCAGGTCACTTAGCTCCGGCGGCCATCTTGAATGAGTTTGACTCTGAAAGTTGTACAACAAGTGATTGATTTGGTACATTTCTATTCAAATCTGTATTATTTTGAATTTTTATAAATCCATTTTACC